GTAGTAGTAGCAGTAGTAGTAGGAGGCGGAGGAGTACCAGCAGCAGTCGCAGCGGCGACGGCAGCAGTAGCACTGCTACTGCTACCGCTGCTAGTGCTATGTGCTGCCACTACTACTAGTACTAGCACTAATATTTGTACAACAACAACTACTACTACCACCACTACTCCTGTTGCTGCTGCTACTGCTACTACGACGACGACTACTCTTCATGGGCTGTAATAAACGATCAGAAAACTGGTGCTTCCCGGATAGGCTGAACCAAGCTGAGTCATGATAACAATACTAATACTAGTAATACTAATAGTACTAGTGATAGTAATAGTAATAGTAACCATCGTGATAATAGTAGTAATAATAGTAATAATAGTACTGATATCAGTAATCATCATGATTCTGCTAAGTCTGAACGGGCCGGCCTTGCAGGAAGCTATCGAGCAGAGAATCGTAACTCACCTGTCTGAAGCAGATCAGGGAAACTCTAAACTAAAACACTACAAGACTAAGAGCAATTGTTGGGCACTCTTCTGTTTTGACTCATCTGGCCCGCCACTCCCCACACTTCCGTTCTCGCCAGGGCCTGCTCTGGATCATACTCGATCTGAATCGCCTGCACATGCAGAATTTCCCCACGCTCTCGATAGACAACGAGAACACTTTATAAAGCATGTGCATTTAATATGCATATATATATATACACACATACTACCATACGGAAACCATGTCAACAGAGCTACGAAAGACAAATCATAAATGCCAAGTCCTCTGTGTGTCCATCTCCGCCACAAACCGACTCGTAGGAAGGCTTTGCGTTTCTCCCACCAGTATAGCCAACAGTCCTCGCCAAACGTCTGATGTCACAAAAGCAACATACATCAAAATTGCGAGGCGAGGACGAAGACAGCGCGTAATGAATGGAAGAAGAGACTGCGATGTGATGGAAGGTCGGGTCTTCAAGCGAGCGCTATTGTATCCTTTGAGACTGCCTTTGTCCTCCGACTGTTGAAAGCAGCAGGTCCAATACGTAGTCCATCCAGTCCGAAGCATGTCAAAGCTCAACAACCGATTGGCCTTTTGAGTGTGCGGGCCTTGTTGAAGGCCGCGTGCGTCTTAAGTCGTAAGGGTATGGTAGCATCGACGAGCTGGACAGCAGGGCAGCATCAATAGCGACCGAGGCGACAAGCTTATGTTCTGGACGCTATAAAGGAATGACTCCGTGCTGCGTCGGCACGGTAGGCTACAGTCAGACTGGAACAGAACAGTGGCAAACGTCCAAGGGTATGCTTCTATTTGTCTCCTACACACTTGAATCCATCCTGCTGCTCGAGGACGGCTTTGGGGAAGATGTGGCAAAGGACAACGGGTCACGATTGCAGTTCTCGTGTCCCCTTTCATGTGGGTAGCTTGCGAGCGACTGTGCTGAATCCCCAAACCCACAAAGCAAGATACGAAAAGACAGGGCGATCTCGATCATCCTGAGCCTTCTTGCCCCAAGCTGAAGTGCCAAGCGTCGTTTTCAGCACACCAGGAACTTTATCAAATTGGGCCTGCAGGGGTGGCTGTCACATGTCCATAATGTGACAGTCGAAGCCCCTCCACAATGGCTCTGCAGGACGTGCAGGCCTGTGGACCCCAGAATCAGCCCATCGCAAAAGTTGCCACCTTCACGCAGCCAGCAAGCCAGTCACTGAGAACTGATCAGTGCCGTTTATTATTACGAATTGCCATCGTGGTTTGCCGTCGTTTCGGCTGTGGCCTTTGCTTTGTTCTTCTTCTTGATTTTCTTCGTCTTGTCAACTGGGCTTCTACTGTCTTCCTCGGTATCATCAGAACTACAACCATTACCATCGTCATTGTCACGAATATCATACCCTCAGTCCTGTGACGGCAATTTTGCACCAAAGGTTCTTACTATCAGGTCTGCAATTATTTCGGTAATGGTAGACGGCTCAGCGGCCGCTGCATCATACCGCCCAGCCTCCGTCTTTTTGGTGGCAGTTGCCGTGTTCACCTGCAAAAATCTTGAAGACTGACTCTGACCGGCTCGCTTCAATCGTGAGTGTGGATGCCGTCATGAGGAGCAGGCTCCGCCGACAGGCGCCTGCAGGGCCGAAAGAGCAAATACATTATTATTTTGATTATATTATTATTATTATGATTACTATTATTATTATTATTGCTATAATAATAATAATTATTATTACTATTATTGTTATTCTATTATTATTATTATTAATTATTATTATTATTATTGATGCAGATGAGGTGTGTCGGTGCCTGCTCTGCCTCGGCTCTGCGATGCGATGCAAGGCCTGAAGTTCAGCGGAAAACTCCTCTTACTTCTCTTTGCTTACTATTACAATCATGCTTATTATTACAATCATGCTTATTATTACACTCATGCTTATTTCTGATATTGTCAGTGCTATCAATACACTTATTCCGATAATCGAAATAAATATCATGATGAGGACTGGGATCTTGCGGGTTGGCAGACGTGCGCGCACACTGTGAGAGAACCGAGACTGGGCCCGATTCGAAAGCCCAACACCGGCATGAAGGGATCAAAAGATAATAGCTGCAAGAATAATAGTAAGAATAGGGCTAATACTAATCAAAAACAACAGCAAGAACAGTAACAAGAATCATCATCATCATAACACTAGCAGTACCAAAAAATAAAAATAACAATAATAACAGTAATCAAATACTAATAATCATAATCATAAATATAAATAGCAATATCAAAAATAATAATAATAATAATAATCTTAATAATAATAATAATGATAACGATGCTGATAACCATACTAACAAACATAAACACACCAAACAGCACGGCATGGTCTGTGCTCAAGGAGTCTATTCTCTGAGAGCTTGGCTTCTCGCTATGCCTTGTGTTGGCACGAACGCGGCAGCTTCGGTGGGCCACTGAACCGACCTGAGGCTACAAGAGAAACTAATCCAACCAGAGGGCCAGCCAAGTCGTGATGGTGGCTTGTACCGAATTTTTTTGGTGCATCTGTGCCGTTGCCTGGTAGCGACAGTGCCTGCAAGCGCTGCGGCTAATGCAGGTCTCCGCCAGGATTTTGGCCGCGTGGCTCTCTGCCTCAGGCCGCGCTTGGAGTTACATCCACGAGCCGTATGGGTTTTCGAAGCAGTTTCGCGGCAAACACCGTAGTCTCATTTCTAAGACCACCACATGGCACAGCCAGATGTTTTTCTTGGTGCGGACCCTGGACCCGTGTACCGTCACAAAAGCTGCGGCGAGGAGTCACCGGAGCTGCCCTCCCCATGCTGCAAGCTGCAGGCTTCTCAGGCTTCTCAGGGCACATGAGTATTTGCAGCCACTTTTTTAAGCTGCACGTGGCGGGGTTCATTTGTGGCCTGGTCGCACTGCATCAGCTTTGGCTGCTACGCTGCACGGACAGAGGCGGGAGGTGCTCTTGTGCTTCGCCTCAAACTGGGAGCATGACGATGCTAAACTCAAGAAAGAACAGCGGCAAGAGACACCTCGCAAGTTGCTGGCGAAATGAAGGTGATCAGGCACTGCCTTGGACAGTGAAGACAAGAAGTCGTGCTCGTGCAACTGCGTCGTGTCTTGTCCACTTCGGAGCTCCAGGCCCTTTTGTGGATTGGGCCGGATCGGGCACATAGACCGGGAGCTCTTTACCCACCTGTCTGTCTTTGTGCATCTTTGAAACCCAGCTTTGGTCTGTCAAAAGCGGATCCGGCCTGGTGGGCGCAACCCGCCTGACAGTGCACTTCCTTATGCCCCGAAGCTAATGGAAGCTATCTGCCAAAAACTGAAACGTACCTCGCAGGGGAAGTGCTTCTTGAGAAGGTTGCAGTCGTTCAAGAAGTATATCCTAAACACCGGCTTCCGCTCACAAGCTGTGGCAAAATGATGGAACGCTAAGCTTTCGGCTGCTGCTTGTCGCACTTGGCATTCCTCACCATTTCCCGCGACTCGGGGATTCGGTGGAAACGAACTTCGGGCAAAGTATGTACGAGTAGATTGGCTCGATTGAATAAAGGGCTCATGACTGCACGAAACGGCAGGTATTGAAGATGCTGCTTTCTGCTGTCGGTCCTTGACTGGCACACCTCCACGCACGACCTCGATCACAAGTAGCGGTCTTGAACCACACGTTGCTGCATATCGCTTGAGACCGTTACTTCCCCTGAGAGCCAGGAACAACCTCAAAGTTCACGTTGAACCTGTGCACAGTTTCCCATTCGTGCAGGGCTTACTGTATGAAAAGTCAGAGAACTATATACTCCCGGACATGGTGAACGATTCGCAACACACACACGCACACAGGGAGCTGTGGAGTCAAGGAAAGGAGGACATGCCGGGGGTGTTTGCCTCGCAGCCCACCCTGTTTTCATGACCATAAGTGTTGGGGAAAAAGGCTCAGGGCCTCGGGCACAGTGAGTCTGTGCATAGCTTGAATGTCGTCATGTGCATTTACATGACGCTTCCCTTTCTGATGGATCTCAGGATGGAGGCTTCGAGCTTCGTGTTGCCATCTCCAGGCTGCTACGACGTAGCAGGATCTTGCTGGCCCAGGAATCAGTCACGGATCCTGACAGTCCTGATGTGCTCCTGACCATGCCCATGGCAAAGGACTTTGGCAGCTTGATCTCCCTAGAGTGCAAGCAGTGCTCGCGGTGGCCTGAGCTGCTCCTCTGGTCGCAGGAGCCCCAGCTGACTCCTGGAGTAGACGGGCTCATGCTCTTACAAGTCCAGGCTGACAAGGTTGGGCCGTTGGCCGTTGGCTCCTCTTATCCAGCATCAGTAACGGGACTTGCCTGACTTGCTGGCGCGATGCCCTCCACAACAGGTGTCCACACCCTGGAGGCGAAGTAAGTGTCTGGCTGGCTGACAATGCGTCCAACCTTCGCACAGAAATCTCTGCACGCGATTTCTTACAGCGAAGTTTTACATGCAACGTCTATGCTGCAAAATGGTGTCAAACTCTCAATCCCGAGAGTTTGACGACAGTACCATAGTGCTCAGAGCGCACGTCCGCTGGTATCGAGCCCTTGGTGTTCCTGGAGTCGGCTCGACAAAGAGTAACATCCATCCCCTGTGAAGAACCTATGTCAAGACCTATGTCGGAGTACCATGACCACGCAAATTGCAACTGTGAGCTTCGTGACAGTCCTGGGAGACAAGCCCGCAGCCTCTGCATACTGCAGAAACTCCTCATGCCTCGGGCAAGGTCAGGCACGCCTCCGACTCATTGTCCCATTCTTGCTCTGAGTTTGGTGCACATACGGAACCACATGAAGCACTTTTGGCCTCAACGGCTCAAGACATTGGGAGACAGTGGAAACCCGCTGCAGAGTTGTGCAGGTTCAGGTCTTTGCAGCTTCTTGAACGGCTTTCCATTTTGTGCCTTCAGCTCCTGCGCTCATCTCCAAAATCAAATCTGTGGCATTTGGCTGCGAGGATGTCCTTCAAGTCCAATCTAGGTGCTTTGGCAACTGCCTGCCGGTGCCAAGCATCGTAGTCCTGCCGTTTGCGAGCACATGTCACAAGAGCTGCAATCATGGCAAGATGTGCAAACTCACCCCGTTCTCCTCAGCAACAAGATAAGACACATTCCCTGCCAGCTGGGGTTTGCATTGGTTTGCATCGAACGGTTAACGTTAGGATGCTCAGCAGGTCAAACGGAGACGTTAGGCATAAGCTCCAAGCCGAATTGTGCGCAGGGTTCGGCAACCTCGGATGCTTGTTGCAGGTTCAGCAACACCCGTAATTGCAAGTGATTTCCCAATGGCGGAACGGACAACCATGGAGACCAGTGCGACACTTTTTCTGCCGTCCTGGCTTCTGCTGACGCCACACTCATATATCCGTAACCATTGAGACTCCAGAATCGACCACCTGCAGCAAGGCTTTGTGTTAAGCTTGCCGTCCCGCTGCTACATTGTACATCTATTGTCATGTCTTGCCTTCTTGATAGCTCGCATGAATGTTTGTCTCATCTTTTGCTGCTTTGCCTACATCACCGGTGCCTTTACTGAGCCAGTGTTGTCAGTGTTTCAGGTGTGTTAGTCGCAGTTTTACCAGTCATGGCTCCTGGAGACAGCCTTCAGCGAAAACGTAAAACTCTGAAGCGCACACCTTCCTAAACCCTGAATCGCACTTTCGTGGGTGATGAGGATTCGTGACCCACCGCTGTTCCTTGCCAGGTCCGAGGGCGGTGATTCTTTATCACAGACACACACACACACACCCTCACACCCCGAGATTTGCCAGTCAACATCCTTTTCGACTTTAGGGCCTACTTTAGGGCTGTGTCTGCCAGTCATCAATCCTGTAAGGTTGAACAAGTGTGCTTGGGCCTCGGGTAGGCTTGCTGCATTCATTCCTTCCACGCTGTCGGGGGCTTCCATTCCAGCCTTTGTATCCTGTCGGGATAATCTATGCTTACAAGACTTCTTCCATTCATAGCTTCGTTCCAGCATCTGTGTTTGCTATTCATCGCTCTTCTTCACGGGCTGCGGGTGCGGCAGTCAGCGCTTCTCACGGGGTCTCAAGCTTACACCACCACCACCACCACCACCAGCACCACCACCACCAGCACCACCACCACCAGCACCACCACCACCAGCACCACCACCACCACCACCACCCCACAAAGCCTACGCCTGCATCGACACAACTTAGGCACTGGAGACATCAAAACAGGCTGAACCCTGGAGCGACTCACACGTTCATGTATGCGCGTGCCTGTCTGTGTATATGTAGAGCCGACACAGATCCATCCTTCTCTTTGCTATGAAGCATCTACGTTTTTGCTTGTCAAGGATCCCTCCATAAAGTACGCACATAAATCGAAATCAAACAGCAAATATGCACAGATAAACATATAAATAGATGTGGGTTGAACTTTTACGCTCTATTTGACAACCGCCTTCTGCCCTTTCAAAATTTTCAAAATTTCCTTTATTGAAGATGTTAAAAAATTTCAAAAAAATTTAAATATTTCAAATTTTTCAAAATTTCCTTTATTGAAAATTAGAAAAATTTTCAAAATTTTAAATATGTAAAAATTTTCAATATTTCCTTTATT